CCGTCGACCGGAGCCCTGTATCCCGGGTCCCCGTTAAACCGGGACCCTGTATTCCGGGTCCCCGTTAAACCGGGGCCCTGTATTCCGGGTCCCCGTTAAACCGGGGCCCTGTATCCCGGGTCCCCGTTAAACCGGGGCCCTGTATCCCGGGTCCCCGTTAAACCGGGGCCCTGTATTCCGGGTCCCCGTCGGCCGGGGCCCTGTATCCCGGGTCCCCGCTAGTCGGGCCCTGTATCCCGGGTCCCCGCTAGTCGGGGCCCTGTAATCCGGGTCCCCGTCGACCAGGGCCCTGTAGTCCGCGTCCCTGTTCGGGCGCCATTTGTAAGCGGCGAGGAGAAGCAGACAGGCCAACCCAATATGGGTGATAAGCAACTTCTCCTTTATTTGTGACGCAGTTCACACATACATAGGAGTGGTATTCAGCCACTCCTTCTTGGCATAACAGTATTGGTTAGCCCCCACAGCTTCCTCCACATTCTCCTCCCAGGTCCGGTCTCCAGCCACCTGTGGGGGCCACCCCCTGCCTTGCTTGCACAGTCCTCCAGAACTCTATGGTCCTGCTCTTAGAGTCATTCTGCAACACTTTTCTAGTACTGTTCTAACTCTAAATGATTGTCTCAGAGTGGCTGTAATTTTATTAACTCCTTCACAGCTCCTACATTTTAAAAGCGGGTTTGAGGAGCTTGCTGCAAGAGTTGCAGATGAGAATTCAGAGTGAAATCCTCATCACCCTTTGCACGGTGTTTCATCTGAAATGTTACTGGGAAAGAGACAGTTTCACCCTTGTCGTGGTTTAAACCCAGTCAGGTAACTTGTTCACTCACTCCCAGTGAGTGGTGCCGAGCTGACAACAATCGAGGTCCGTGTCCGTCTCCCCCCCCCACCCCGCACCGGGGCTCTCCCCTTCCCCGCTCCCGGAGGAACAGGGAGGAGGATCGAGAGAGTGCAACTCCTACGGGTTGAGACAAGAACAGTCCAGCAACAAATCACCACCGCTACTATCAGCTAAAACAATGATAAGGGAAAATAACAAGGGAAGAGCATACGATGCCACCGGCCAAAAAAGCGAGTTCCACCCGGAAGCCCGTGTCCTTCCCGGTAACTCCCAGTTACCCCCACTCCGGCCATGACGTGCTGTGGTATGGAATACCTCCCCGGCTAGCCCGGGTCAGGCGCCCCGTCTCTGCTTCCTCACAGCTTCCCCTCCTCCCTGGCAGAGCATGAGCCTCACAGAGTCCTTGGTCAGGGTAAACATCACTTAGCAACAACCGAAAACATCGGCTTCACCAACACTGTTCTCAAGCTAGAAGTCAAAACACAGCACTGCACCAGTTAACACAAAGGAAAAACATGACTGCTACTGCTGAACCCAGGACAACCCTGATGGAGTACAAGCTCGTATGAAAACTGAAGTTTTACAGCAAGCACAGCAATTGGCTTTAGCTGCCCTGAAAGCTGTGCCAGAAGCGGGAAAACCTAATCCTTCATATACATCAGTAAAGCAGGGACCTACTGAGCCATATATGCGATTTATTGACAGATTGACAGAGGCTATTGAAAAGAATATTGATCTGGCATCTAATGCTAAAGAATCGATGCTTATGTCTCTGGCTATGGAAAATGCTAACCCAGCTTGTAAGTGTATTTTGCAGGTTTTGCCAAAATCTGCTGGTCTTCAAGAAATGATGGATGCATGTTCTAAAGTGGGCACAGCAGAGGAAAAGGCTGGATACATGGCTACTGCCTTCGCCGCTGCTGTTAAACCCCTTCTACAACAAGGTCAGGGTGACTGTGGGGGTACTAAAGGTATGAGATGTTATAACTGTGGACGGATGGGACATTTTAAAAAGCAGTGTACTGTAAAGAAAACTAGTTCAGCAACCCGCCCCCCTCACTGTGGTGTTACTGATTTTGTAGACAAATGTATTAAATGTGACAAATTTGGCCACAAGACAATTGAATGTTGTTCAAAGTTTAAAAGAATAGGACCCCTCTGGGAAACTTGAATGTGAGCACGATGCCACCCCGTGCAACGACACAAAATCAGGGTGTCTGGACTGCGTCCCCTCCGCCACTTCAGGGAGTGCCGCAGTGGATGTGGCAACCGCAATAGATTTTACCATAACTGATACTTCTGTTCATTGCATTCCATCTAAATTAAATGGGCCCCTTGGTCATGGGTTATGTGCTTTGCTACTGGGACGATCATCAACATCAAGGAAAGGAATCTTTGTATTACCCAGTGTAATTGATGCTGACTATACTGGCAATATTGGGATCATGGTGCAAATGCATGCTGAAAATTCAAAAAGAGCTCAATTACTTCCATTTGAGGCAAAAGTCCCTCAGATGGGGCCAAAAATTAGAGGAAATCAGGCCTGGCATTCCACGGGAATACCACAAATTTTATTTGCTTTAGACATAGCAAAGCACAAACCTGAGGACCAAGTCTCTATAAGAGGTTGTGATAATCAAACAATTAAGCTGTCTATGTTCAGCAGGAGTTGTTGGAATAGGGGGAATGCAATCAACTCAAATCAGTAAATAATTGGTGGATGTGTTTATGTCTGATGAAAGTGATACCCAAATTAGTCCATATGTTATGCCTTTTCCTATTGCATTGCTTGGACGAAATGTTCTCAGTCAAATGGGAATGAAACTGACCACAGAAATTTTTAGTGGCAGCCATTGAGGGATGGCCAACCTATAAATTGCAATGGCTTACTGAAACACCCGTATGGGTCGATCAATGGCTGCTGACAAAAGAAAAGCTGTCCCATATTCACCAACTGATCAATGAACAGCTAAAAGCAGGCCATATTGTGCCATCCACTAGTCCGTGAAATACTCCAATATTTATCATTCCTAAGAAAAATGGAAAATGGAGACTGCTACATGAGCTCAGAGCTATCAACGCAGTTATGAAAGACATGGTAGCTTACTCATGTATCACAGTATCACAGTATGCTAGAGATTGGAAGGGACCTCGAAAGATCATCTAGTCCAATCCCCCTGCCGGAGCAGGAACACCAAGATAATGTTACACAGGAATGCGTCCAGGCAGGTTTTGAATGTCTCCAGGGAAGGAGACTCCACAACCTCCCTGGGCAGCCTGTTCCAGTGTTCCGTCACCCTCACTGAGAAGAAGTTTCTTCTCAAGTTTAAGTGGAACCTCTTGTGTTCCAGTTTGTACCCATTACCCCTTGTCCTATCATTGTTTGCCACTGAGTAGAGCCTGGCTCCATCCTCGTGACACTCCCCCTTTATATATTTATAGACACTTATAAGGTCACCCCTCAGTCTCCTCTTCTCCAAACTATAGAGACCCAGCTCCTTCAGTATTTCCTCATAAGGGAGATGCTCCACTCCCTTAATCATCTTTGTTGCCCTGCGCTGGACTCTCTCCAGCAGCTCCTTGTCCTTCTTGAACTGAGGGGCCCAGAACTGGACACAATATTCCAGATGCGGTCTCACCAGGGCACAGTAGAGGGGAAGGAGGACCTCTCTCGACCTACTAACCACCGCCCTTCTAATACACCCCAGGATGCCATTGGCCTTCTTGTCCACAAGGGCACAGTGTTGGCCCATGGTCATCCTGTCGTCCACTAGGACCCCCAGGTCCCTCTCCCCTACACTGCTCTCTAACAGGTCGTTTCCCAACCTATACTGGAACGTGGGGTTGTTCCTGCCCAGATGCAGGACTCTACACTTTCCCTTGTTATATTTCATCAAGTTACTCCCTGCCCAACTCTCCAGCCTGTCCAGGTCTCGCTGGATAGCAGCACAGCCTTCTGGCGTGTCAGCCACTCCTCCCAGCTTAGTGTCATCAGCAAACTTGCTGATAGTACACTCAATTCCCTCATCTAAATCATTGATGAATATATTAAATAATACCGGTCCCAGTACTGACCCTTGAGGCACTCCACTAGTTACAGGCCTCCAACTAGACTCAGCCCCATAGACTACAACTCTCTGGCTTCTCTCCTTCAGCCAGTTTGCAGTCCACCGCACTACCTGATCATCCAGTCCACACTTCCTCATTTTAGCCGTGAGGATGCTGTGGGAGACTGTGTCAAATGCTTTGCTGAAGTCAAGGTAGACCACATCCACCGCTCTGCCATCATCCATCCACCGTGTTATTTCCTCATAAAAGGCTAAGAGATTGGTCAAACATGATTTCCCCCTGGTGAAGCCATGTTGACTGCCCCTCATAACCTTCTTATCCTTGATATGCCTTAAGATGGTACCAAGGATAAGGTGTTCCATCACTTTCCCAGGGATGGAGGTGAGGCTGACCGGTCTATAGTTACCCGGGTAACTATAATATGTAATAGAAGTTGGTAAATATAAGTATGTCCACGTTTCTGTCGACCTTTGGAGACATTTATAGATATTGCTGGCCACTTCTTCCAACATAGGCTGGCCACCTGTGTCGGAATGAGTGTGCATTTTGGTCAGTATAAAAGCCCAAGCCTCATACGATGTGGGGGAGGCAGAGCCTCTGCGGGGATGCCCGCTAAGGTTGAGCCTGCCACCTCGCACTGCAGTGATGCTTCTCGGAGATAGTTTGTTGTTAGTCTCCACAGGGTCCTTGTGCCACATTCTGTGTGTGGGACTGTAGTGGGAATAATGATTGTCTGGATTTCGTGCTTCAAATATTGTAGCTGTGTGGAGTGTGCTTGTGGGATCCCATACGTGTGTGTGTGTGTGTTAAGGGCAGACGGTGTTCTGTGTATTTTTTGTTGTTGCATTCATGTAAAAGTTTTTAACCAGTAGCAGTTTAACATTTCGGGCAAGAAAGCGTTAATGCAAAAGTGCTGTTGCCGGCTGGTATTTATGGTTGCTGCTGAAGCAGACAGGCAGCTGTAGCTGCTGCCGAGCTGGCCGGCACTTGTAGGGTGAGCGACTTTGTATCAGAAAAAAAAAAAAAAAAAAAGGCAATGATGCAGCAAACTCCTTGACTGTCTCCTTCTCAAGAATTGATAACCTGGGGGAGGGAGTATATTTGTGTCCTCCTGCCTACAGGTCCATGGCGACTGCCTGCAAAGTTTGTCAAGCCTTGCCATGAGCTGGACAGGCGAGAGGAGGAGCCTGATGCCTCAGCTACAGGATCTGACCGTGAATACCCCAAGCAGAATGAGATAGAGGAAGAAAAAAATGAATGATTGCAAAACATCACTTGGGGGCAACTGAAAAGTAACAGCTTGAATATATGTGTGCTTGTAAAGCAGCTATTATTAGAGGCTGTGATTTTGTGTATAAAACAACCTGTATTTACTAGCCAGTTGCTAATAAGAAGCTACACCTTGTATTATATAGATTCGTCACTTGTAAAAAAGATGTTAGAGTATGGAAATTTGCAGTAGCTGCTAGAAAATTCTAAGGCAAAAGCAGAAAGATTCTAATACAATGGTAGTGTTATAAAGCAGGTAATGGAACAAATCAAGAGGGTGGGAGAATTCCACTGGTAAGCAATTTCTTTGGCTAGTCCCTTGCTGCCATCAGCATCTTCAACATGCTGCTGCACCCTGTAATAGTTGCTCTGCTAATGTAAAGGTGTGTGTGCCTTGCTGTAGTAGTGATTTGTTACTGGATGAAGCAGGTGAAACTGCACTGACAACAAGGTGCAAGGGCTGAGGCTGACCAAATGTCTGCTACCACAGTCAAGGGCAAGACTGGGTTGGCCTCTGTGTTTGCCACCAAGAAGAACCTTTAGCTCCTCTGTTGGCTGCAACCCAGCAGGCATGTAGTGGTGGGGACACATGCCATGCCAGACCTTGATGTGAAAGATGGCCTCCCCTGTTATCAGAGAGCCATACAGCAGAAAAAAGGGGCAGGCCCAGCAGCCTGTAGTTGGCATATATTGGAGATATGATCTAGCCCAAATCCCCTGATCAAGTAGAGTCATCCAAAACATATATAAAACAAAAAGGGGGAGATGTGGAGGCAGTGTTCTCACAGGAGAATGGATAACTGGTACAGAAACTCTGAATAATCCCGAAAAATACAGCCATGAGAGGCCCGAGGAAGCCTAAACAAGCAAGATAAGAAGAAGCTGGAATTCACTGAGTTATGAGAACTGTGGACTGTTGGCAAGCTTTTGAGGTCAAGTTCTCCCACCTGTGCTTAACCGATTATATGTTAGTCACTAAGGGTCTTCAAGACATGTATCCAATCATAATATGCCAAATCACTGTAAGTGCATGTAAGAAACAGTATTTAAGGGGTTAAGGCTTTGTAATAAACGGCTTTTACGGCTTTTGTCTGATCATATTGATCTCTGACTGAGTCCATATTTTCTGCGGCAGTCCACCCCTGGTTGCATCTCCCACTATTCTACTTTAAGCACCCCTTCCCCTTACTTACACATTCCCTTTTATGGTAGAGTCACCTAACTCATCTTCCTCTCCTTCGCCCCCCCCGGGGAGCTTGCTTTCAAGTATCAAGCCTTGTTCTAGCCCTTTTATCACTCTGATTACACTGAGTTTCAGATGAACCCCCCTGCCTATTTGCCAACTTCCTCTTTATCTTCTGTTTTCACCTTAGCTATTCTTTCAAGCCTATAAAGCAACACTATGGTGTTTCTTCCACAAGAGGACACCATAAGCAGCCATGAGGACCCTGGACCTCCTCTAACTTTCCCCAGAAGGATCAGAAGGGAGCTGTAATATCTCAGCTGAACACTGCCAGGCTGTGCAGAATCAGGGAAGCCTATTTTCAGAGGGTTCGTACACATGGGGTGTGAATAATAAATAAATTAAATAAAGCAAAAATAAATATTCATCTTGCAGTTTTTGCTCCTGGAAATCCCATTTGGTCTTGAGTGAGCCTGATACGCGGAGAGACTCCTCAACTCATTAAAGTTGTAAAGTAGGTATGCTTTATTCAGCTGAGGCGCATGGGGATTAGTTCCTCCAAAGGCATGCACACCCCAGTGTCGTTTTCCCTCTACATTTATTCTATATGGTGTTACATATGCAATAGGTTACACAAGACATCTATACATATTCATATCCTTTTCCCTCTTCATATTATAATGAGCTAAAGCTTCCTTCACTCCTGCGCAGTGCCTCCTGATGGTCGTGGGCAGGGGTCTCGAGATGAAGTAAACGAGTCTTCCTCACTCTTGAACTTTTCACCTTCATCTTGTACGCATGCTTACTAGTCCCCTGGCTTCGGTTCAAACCATAGTTCTAGTCTCAGCTGGGTCTTCACCAGGTGTATGGTGTTGCAAGTAGAAACTTTGACCACCAGTTCCCCTTATCTGATGGTCTTTCTTACATAAGTTTACATTAAACACCAGCTGCACTTTTAGACAAATACTTATTGTTAACTAAAGAGATTGAAGATAATCAGAAGAATAACATAGGTTTAACATTCGGTTATTAATTCAGGCCCCCTATTAAGCCAGCCAATATGGTGACCTTGGAAGTATGACAGGAATGTTGTCGGATGTAACAGAAGCATGGAGCAGCCCAGCTGCAGCACAAAGCAATGCAATGAGCCAAGAGCTGAGGAGCACAAAAGTCCAACTGTGCGGCAAATGCAGCACTGGTGGCTCTGATATAAGAGGACTGCTGTTTTCCAGCAGAAAGGTGCAGCTAAGGAAAATAGTTCCTTGGTGGATGCAACCTGCACAAAATCAGCTCATCAAACCCAGCATCTACAGGGATGGATAAGAGACAGATTGGCTGAATGTTTTAGGAGAGTATTCTGGTTTTAAGCAGAATTCTTCAAGGTTTTGAGGAAGCCAGCCTATAACACCTCATGCTTTAAGGCAAATACAGAAAGAAAATCCAGTCCACCATTTTTTGTTCAGAAAAAGTTTATAAGAAAAATGTCCTGGTGTCATTGTGTAAGCCCAGCCAGTAGCTCAGAACCACACAACTGCTCTCTTACCACTCCATCTTGCTTCTTCCCCCCTGCTCCTGGAGGGATAGGGAGGGAAGAATGAAAGGAATATAAAACCCATAGGATAAGAACAGTCCAATAACTAAAGTATACTACAAAACTACCACTACTACTAATAATGATAATGGAAATAACAAGGGGAGAGAATATAAAACTAACAAGGAAGGGGAAAAAACCCACCCGCAGACCAATACCCAGCCCGACTCAAGTAGCGATCTGGGTCTTTTGGGTAACTGACCCAGTTTCCATACTGGGCATGATGTGCTGTGGTAGGGTGTTGCAGAATGACTCTAAGAGCAGAACCATAGAGTTCTGGAGGACTGTGCAAGCAAAGCAGGAGGTGGCCCCCACAGGTGGCCGGAGACCGGACCTGGGAGGAGAATGTGGAGGAAGCTGTGGGGGCTAACCAATACTGTTATGCCAAGAAGGAGTGGCTGAATACCACTCCTATATATGTGTGAACTGCGTCACAAATAAAGTAGAAGTTGCTTATCACCCATATTGGGTTGGCCTGTCTGCTTCTCCTCGCCGCTTACAAATGGCGCCCGAACAGGGACGCGGACTACAGGGCCCTGGTCGCTGGGGACCCGGGATACAGGGCCCCGACTAGCGGGGACCCGGGATACAGGGCCCCGACTAGCGGGGACCCGGGATACAGGGCCCCGACTAGCGGGGACCCGGGATACAGGGCCCCGGCCGACGGGGACCCGGGATACAGGGCCCCGGCCGACGGGGACCCGGAATACAGGGCCCCGAATAGCGGGGACCCGGGATACAGGGCCCCGGTTTAACGGGGCCCCGGAATACAGGGCTCCGAATAGCGGGGACCCGTGATACAGGGCCCCGGTCGACGGGGACCCGGGATACAGGGCCCCGACTAGCGGGGGCCCGGGATACAGGGCCCCGGTCGACGGGGACCCGGAACGGCGAGTGAGCGGCGCCGGCGGCAGCGGCCGGGAAGCGCGGGCAATGCTGCTGCGGTGGCGTGACGGACCCGGGTGCTTGGACTAACCGAAAGAATCCGCCGCTGGGGCGAACCAGACACTGCTGCGTCGGGAGGCCGATCCGGAGACCGAGGTTACAGGACGACCCAGAAGAAGACGATCCGGAAAAGGCTGGCCATGAAAATGGACCGAGAGGTAGCCCTGGACTTATTACAGTGCTTCTTATAAAAGCGGGGAACTGAGCCCTGAACTTTTTACAGTGCTTTTTATAAAAGCGGGGAATTGAGCCTGAGACTCTAAAGCAGCTAGCAGGTCTAGTGGCTAGGGAAGGCTAAGAGATTTTTTTTGCAGATCCTAATACAATATTTGAGGAGAGTGAGTGGCGAAAGTTTGGTGATGAACTATTTGACTCGGTGCTTAATGATTATAAAAAGGCAAAGAAACTCGGTAAACCACGGAGGGAAGTAATGAACTGTATAAAAAGATACAAGGCAGAAAAGAAAACTGCCGCGGTAGCAACGGAGAAACTAGGAACAGACGTCCCCGGTCGTTTGAAACCGGGGGAAGATTACAACTCGTTCCCCCCCCCCAGCTCGCGGGAGCACAGGGTTTCCCACCGCACCCCCCCCCCTTCCTTTTCTCCCCCTCCATCAGAAGGTGCCGCGGAGGAGGTGTAACCCCCTGCTCCCCCACCACCCCAGTTCCGAAAGTAGGGACTTTGAAAAGGACAGAGAAAGTATATTAGAAGGGATACGTATGATAAATGCCGAGGAATCCGAAAGAAAGAGGGCGTTGCCTCGGCGCCGGATCGATTACGGAGGAGCCAGATCTGCAGATGGCTACATACCGAACGAGATACATCTGATAAGAAAGACACAGCTGCGAGCAACGGAGACCCCGAGTTCGGCGCAGGATCAGCCCCCGAATCCCCTGAATGCGAGCCAGATTTATATCCTCTGCTTCCAGACCCTGACTCTTTGTCTCCCGGGTCGGTCTGCTCAGACTTGCTGGCCCTGGAGACGCTCAGTTGTAACAATGGGTAACCAAATATGTGATCATTACTGGGGAATTTTCTGCAATGGGCATCTTTGCATATCCTGTGTTTACTACACAGCAGGGGGCTAAAGAGTGGGAAGCTCTTGATCTCAAAATAGTTAAGGAGGCCTGACAAACAGTGACCACGTATGCGTTAAAATCCTCTTATACTCAAGCTGTATATGTTATGATTTTTTCTTGCAATTGACAGGGGTAGCCCATACAGTTTCTCTGTGATACTCATGTATTAGAAGTTGGTAAATATAAGTATGTCCAGGTTTCTATCAACCCTTGGCGACCTCTGTAGATACTGCTGGCCACTTCTTCCAGCACAGGCTGGCCACCTGTGTTGGAATGAGTGTGCATTTTGGTCAGTATAAAAGCCCAAGCCTCATACGATGTGGGGGA